CTAGCTTGCTTAGCAACCCCTTCAGAGGGGAAAGACGAAGTCCCTTGAGGAGTTGAGGTTAGCAAGATCTGCGGTAAGCTCGGTGAAGGCACAGAAAACATAGGGGAAGGGGGACGGGGAAGGGAAGTAGGAGACACTTCTATCCTTGGCACCTTTGCAAGGGGAACAGGGTCACTTCCTGACCCGACCTCAGCCTTGCATTTTCCTCCACTTCTACCCTTCCTCAGCTGGGCAACCTTCGCCTTTAAAGCCTCAGCATCTGGAGCCATTGAGCTAGAACCTAGAAATTCAAAGCGAACAGATTAGTAAGGAAAAAGAAGAAAAATAGAAATTAAGAATAAAAGGGAAGAAGCTTTACCTACGACTCATTCGGCACTAGCGATGGAGATAGGAATCGGGGTCTCTATAGTCACTTCAGGAAGGCTAAACCCAAATTTATGAAGCACCTTAGGCTTGATAAGCTTAGAGTAGTGCTCCCATTCATAATTCCCCAAACCCAACAAGACAACCTTGTCCTCAGCACTAAGCTTGGGCATAATACCTGAGAAGAACAAGGTCAGCAGAACGAAGCACCGAGGCTTCTCCAAGCTTACTCAGGCAAGGCTTACCCAAATTATTAGGGGCAGACCAAGCTCGAGGCACAGGGAGGGTATTAGCTGCATCTTTGGAATTGTACTCTCATTCTCTCCTAGATATGAAGAAGAAGAGCTTCTTCCAACCCTTGTGGAAGCTCGAGAGGTCAATAATAAAAACATGGGACTTCACCCGCCTAGCTATGTACAAAAAACTGTCAGAGGGGGTGAACTTGACGTTGAAGAAATTCATAAGCAGAGGCACAATGGGAACTCCAAGACCGTGCTTCTTAAAGTAAACAAGAAGACCCTCCAGTACACCCCAGAAATTAGGAGAGAGTTGAGCATGTCAGACATTGAAATGTTGAAGGGCACTCTTAAGAAAGGGATGCATTGGAAAGCGAAGGCCATTCTCCAGAGAAGCCAAAAAGAAACAGACTTTCTCGGGTATTCGGGAGTCATACCTAATATCTACATAGGGGCACCAATACCGCATACCCCGAGGAAAACCAAATCTAGCTGATAAGACTTTCATGAAAGGGGGTGATCTCACTAAAGTCAACGAGGTCTGAAGCTTTGGGGGGAACCTCTGCCTCTTTAGCACTGCCAAAAACCCCAGGGTCACTCATATTAGTTTTTCCTTTCCGAGATTTCTCAAGCCTCGGCATAGGTGAAGACGATGAAGGAGAGACCTTGGGGTTTTCCCTTGCATCAAGAATCAACGTTAGGGAAATTATCAATCTCATTACCTACATCACCTAAATCAACGTCCTCATGTTCAGAAGACCTCTTACCCATGGCAAGAGAAACAAATGAAGCAGTAGCTTCAGAGGAATTAGACATGGTGGGATTGGAGAAAGGGAGATGAAAGGAGGAATAAGAAAAAGGAATGTTGGCAAAACAATTTCTGAGAGTCGAAGGGTCAAGACACCGACGACCGATGAGGATGATCCAAGCGATGGAATAAGAATCTAAAAAGAGAGGAAGAGAGGACAAGGAATAACCACGATTCCTAAAGTAATAGAAATGAAAAGTCCAAAAATGCAACAACCACCTCGGATTTGAGAGCTCCAGAATGAAGAGAGGAGCAGAGTGAAGAAACATACCTAACCAAGGACGACCGATAACCCGAAACCCAAGACAAATTCAAGGGAATGACAAAGCAAGCCTAGCAAAATCTTTGAGTCGAGTTGAGGGTTTCCAGCAAAGCCCTAGACTACCAGCAAATTGGAGAAGATGAAATCGCTGGGGAAAAAGAGAGAAAAAAGAGTCTATAGAGAGAATTCGAAGGGTAGGGAAAGCAATTTTTTCGTCTACAAGGGCATTTAAAGCCAAACGTATGAGGAGCCTCGGGATATGAACGTGCACAAAAAACGAGAAAGAAATGATTAAATGTTCACTATAATTGTCAAAATGAAGTCTCATCGTGAGCAAATCAAGGTCGACCCTTGGTGACCTCACTCAACCCAGCCCCAGCTCAAATCACTTCGACTAGGGGGTGGGGGCAACTGATGGTCCCATAAGAAACCCAAGTCTAAGATCGATAACTCAGCTCAAATCGGGAGTCCAGCCACAGAAACTCTGAGTTCGAGCTCCTGACCTCAAGCTCCCTAAACCCACGCCCCAAAAGAAATAGAGGGGGAGATAGCTAGCGACCGCTAAACATCTCCTCCTTGGTAGTAGATGTCGGCCAAGGCGCTAAACTCGCCATTCCCCCATCACACCACATAATTGCTGCCTAAATCAAAGCAAACATTACGAGATGCGAAGATTTAGTCTCAGATTCTTTCAAGCTCGATTTTAGCTATAAATACTATAAAAAGTACTCACAATGGGGACAAGTGATCCATATTTATCAAGAGTAGAGTGTAATTTCTCTCTATTATCAACATATTCCCCCCAAGAGCAAGACACTCCCTTAAATAGTGGATTAGTCGAGCCCCGAACTAATGAACCACTATAATCCTTTTGTGTGGTTGATCCCATTTCCCTTAAACCCCATTCCAAAGAACCTTGGAGCTTAGACTCGGGTAGAGCACCCTCTGCCCCCATTCTGTTCAATTGTGTTTTACACATCATCAATAATGAGTAATAGTTGTCATTAAGACTTCTTTAGCGTTAAGTATTTTTTAAATTTATTGGATATTGCTTGATTTTAAATTAAAATAAGACAAAAGCAAAGAATAATGATTTTATTTTTTGAGTTACATAGTGCCCTCAAATATGAACATTAATTAATAATCTATCTATGTCTATTTATAAATGTCAGCATATGTACAAAAAATTTAATTTTTTATTTTATTCTTATTTAATAATGTTAAGTCAATCATACCTTACATATCCTTATTAATGTCAGCATTTTTCCTTTCATGATCTATCAAACCTCTTTTTATCATATAGCATTAGGTTTCTAGTTATTTGCTCTACTTATTCTTATAACTTTAGATCTTTAATTACAATAGTAATTTTAGTAACTCAAATTAATGTATAATATACGTATAGACAAACTAATAACTAGGTTTAGTAAAAATTAAATAATAATTAATTCTCTGACATATAATTTATTTATTTAATTCAATTACAGATATAATCTATATTTTTTTATAAGTTTAACAAAAAATTATTATTTAAATATGTTCAGGTGTAACGCACGTCATGTATTACTAGCCTAATTTTTATAAAATCAATTATATCTTTGTAACTTCGTATAATTTTTGTTTTTAAACATAATTTGACTTTCAAGTTTTTTTGAACTCTTTTATAAGTAGTATTTGACTTCCAAATTATTTTAAATTCTTTTATAAGTAGTATATTTCTATAAAAAAATTCATATCTATGTTTATATCTATATGAAAAAGTAACGATAAATCTATATTATATTATTATATACATATAGTTATCAAATTGGATTTTAAGATGAAAAATATGTTATATTTATTTTTTTTAATAATTAAGTTTAAAAATAAATAAATATAAATTAATTTTTTGACACCAAGTTTATCATTTAATTTAATTACACATAAAATTTATATCTTTATGAATTCAACAAAAAAAATATATATTTTTTGAATTGTTTATGTGCAACGCACTTCGTGCATTACTAATAAAATCAAAATTAGTTCTTTTAGGTCCATCCGAGTGATTGAGCACTCGTATCATGCACCACAAGATGCTAGGTTCAAATCCCCCCTCCCCATTTGGAGTGTCAAAATATGACAAGACCTGTTAACACGACTTGAAATTAAAGGGTTTAAGTTTTTCTTAAACCATCCATTTAGTAAACACGACAGGATTAATAAACTAATTGTGTATGGATAAAATTAATCAAAAAAAATATACAACACAACTCGTTTATATATCAGTTATACACGGTTTATACATGACACGAACCCGATATGATACGATTCATTAAAGATGAATTAATAACGAATAGGGTATAAGTAAAATATTTTTTGACATGAATCCACTTCAACCAACTCAATTGAGATACCTACTCTCCATGTAATAGCTTGACCAAAAAATTAAAATCAAAATTCGATGCAGTAGCAGCAAAAACATCCGGGGCAGTATCCATTGTTGTCCACAGATTTATGAGAAAAAAAAAATATTATTTGAACTTAATTTAAAAGTCTAATTTAGGAACTTAATTAACTATAACTGTCAAATTAAAAATAAATTGTTTTTAACATTAAATCTCACAATTTAATAATTACATTAAATTAAATTCTTATATTAAATCCCGAAAATTACGTCCCTACAAAGCCCACAACATTTGTACGAGAAAAAAGAGGATACAGTTGAAGAAGCTGATGATTTTTAAGGATAATGGATGTGCTAGTACTAGTGACGTGTCTTGAAAAGAAGCCTTCCCCAAATGAAAAGCTCAATCACGTCCTTCATGTACTTTTTCTCAATCACGTAAACAATAAATCTACTCATCCCATTCATGGCCGAGAACAATGTTCAGAATATTTACTATGAATATGAACTTACAAATAGCAAAAGATACTTTCTTTATCAAAACTTTTTTGAGTCAAAGCGTTCGAGTATCGCCAAAGAGTATCTTCTGCTTCAGGTGAGATTACTATGTCTTGCTTTAGTTTTTCTTTGATTGCATAACAGAATTTTATTGGTAAGGGTCTTCTGGGTTGTTCATGATTTTGCTCAATACTGCGCTAAACTTGCTCTTTTTTAATAGCATTTTCTGATTAGTCATTTCATCATCAAGTTATGGGGCATTGCAGTGTGATTGATTGTAAAAAGTAAAATAGAAATAGTTTCACTATGTGGAATACGAAATATGTTTCAAATACTATACCCTTTTGGATTTTGACATCTAGTCAAATGTTAGTGATTGTTTTGTGTAAGTAAAACTGACATGGACCGCTAATGGAGTCATGTTTACTAATGTTTAAAACAGTTGGAAGTCTGGTATTTGTAGAAGGGTTTTAGGCTTTATTGAGTGGTGAAAGATGGCTATGGCTCCTACTGTGACAGTGGTTCTTGGCTCAATTGCCTTTGGTTTCTTCTGGGTGTTGGCGGTTTTCCCCGCTTTCCCGTTCCTGCCTGTTGGAAGAGCTGCAGGATCCCTGCTTGGGGCTATGCTCATGGTCATGTTCAGGGTCATAACTCCTGAACAAGCATATGCTGCTATTGATCTTCAGATCCTTGGTCTTCTCTTTGGGACAATGGTTGCTAGTATCTATCTTGAAAGAGCAGATATGTTCAAATATTTGGGTAAATTGCTCTCATGGAAGAGCCAGGGGGCAAAGGACTTACTTTGTCGAATCTGCCTGATTGCTGCCATTTCCAGTGCTTTTTTCACCAATGATACCTCTTGTGTTGTTTTGACCGAGTTCGTGTTAAAAATTGTCAGGGAACAAAATCTCCCACCTCATCCATTCCTGTTAGCACTTGCCTCAAGTGCAAATATTGGTTCATCAGCCACTCCAATTGGCAACCCCCAAAACCTGGTCATAGCTCTTAAGAGTAATATCTCTTTTGGAAAGTTCTTATTCGGGATTTTCCCTGCAATGCTCATGGGAACTTTGGTAAATACTTTGTTTCTTCTACATATGTATTGGAAGTTGTTATCTGATAAGAAGCATGAAGAAGATCCTGCTACTGAAGTGGTTGCTGAGCAAGATGTAATCTCACTTCAACATTCACCAGCAACAACGTCACATGCATCCTTGAACTCTCAAGAATTGAGTTCTGAATTGGAATCTATAGACATTCAGGTCTGTCCAGTGGTCAATCATAACACAGGTCCTGTGGAGTCCCAAAGGACCCGTATGAGTTCAAATGAGGATGAAATCGACAGGGTCCCTAGTGGGGTGCCGCAGTCCTCAAGAAACTCAAATGCATCAAAGGAATGGACAGATGAAGGAGTTACTTCAAAAAGATTGGCATCTGTAAATGGATTGCCTGATGCAATCTCTACTAAATATTTGGAGGAAAAGGAAGTCTCAACGACGAAATGGAAAGGAATATTATGGAAAACATGTGTTTATCTTGTTACTATTGGTATGCTTATTTCATTTCTTATTGGTCTGAATATGTCATGGACTGCAATTACAGCTGCACTTGCTCTTGTGGTTCTTGATTTTCAGGATGCCCAGCCATGCTTAGAAAAGGTCAAAAATTTCTCCCTGTGATTCANGACGTTGAAGAAATTCATAAGCAGAGGCACAATGGGAACTCCAAGACCGTGCTTCTTAAAGTAAACAAGAAGACCCTCCAGTACACCCTAGAAATTAGGAGAGAGTTGAGCATGTCAGACATTGAAATGTTGAAGGGCACTCTTAAGAAAGGGATGCATTGGAAAGCGAAGGTCATTCTCCAGAGAAGCCAAAAAGAAACAGACTTTCTCGGGTATTCGGGAGTCATACCTAATATCTACATAGGGGCACCAATACTGCATACCCCGAGGAAAACCAAATCTAGCTGATAAGACTTTCATGAAAGGGGGTGATCTCACTAAAGTCAACGAGGTCTAAAGCTTTGGGGGGAACCTCTGCCTCTTTAGCACTGCCAAAAACCACAGGGTCACTCATATTAGTTTTTCCTTTCCGAGATTTCTCAAGCCTCGGCATAGGTGAAGACGATGAAGGAGAGACCTTGGGGTTTTCCCTTGCATCAAGAATCAACGTTAGGGAAATTATCAATCTCATTACCTACATCACCTAAATCAATGTCCTCATGTTCAGAAGACCTCTTACCCATGGCAAGAGAAACAAATGAAGCAGTAGCTTCAGAGGAATTAGACATGGTGGGATTGGAGAAAGGGAGATGAAAGGAGGAATAAGAAAAAGGAATGTTGGCAAAACAATTTCTGAGAGTCGAAGGGTCAAGACACCGACGACCGATGAGGATGATCCAAGCGATGGAATAAGAATCTAAAAAGAGAGGAAGAGAGGACAAGGAATAACCACGATTCCTAAAGTAATAGAAATGAAAAGTCCAAAAATGCAACAACCACCTCGAATTTGAGAGCTCCAGAATGAAGAGAGGAGCAGAGTGAAGAAACATACCTAACCAAGGACGGCCGATAACCCGAAACCCAAGACAAATTCAAGGGAATGACAAAGCAAGCCTAGCAAAATCTTTGAGTCGAGTCGAGGGTTTCCAGCAAAGCCCTAGACTACCAGCAAATTGGAGAAGATGAAATCGCTGGGGAAAAAGAGAGAAAAAATAGTCTATAGAGAGAATTCGAAGGGTAGGGAAAGCAATTTTTTCGTCTACAAGGGCATTTAAAGCCAAACGTATGAGGAGCCTCGGGATATGAACGTGCACAAAAAACGAGAAAGAAATGATTAAATGTTCACTATAATTGTCAAAATGAAGTCTCATCGTGAGCAAATCAAGGTCGACCCTTGGTGACCTCACTCAACCCAGCCCCAGCTCAAATCACTTCGACTAGGGGGTGGGGGCAACTGATGGTCCCATAAGAAACCCAAGTCTAAGATCGATAACTCAGCTCAAATCGGGAGTCCAACCACAGAAACTCTGAGTTCGAGCTCCTGACCTCAAGCTCCCTAAACCCACGCCCCAAAAGAAATAGAGGGGGAGATAGCTAGCGACCGCTAAACATCTCCTCCTTGGTAGTAGATGTCGGCCAAGGCGCTAAACTCGCCATTCCCCCATCACACCGCATAATTGCTGCCTAAATCAAAGCAAACATTACGAGATGCGAAGATTTAGTCTCAGATTTTTTCAAGCTCGATTTTAGCTATAAATACTATAAAAAGTACTCACAATGGGGACAAGTGATCCAGATTTATCAAGAGCAGAGTGTAATTTCTCTCTATTATCAACATATTCCCCCAAGAGCAAGACACTCCCTTAAATAGTGGATTAGTCGAGCCCCGAACTAATGAACCACTATAATCCTTTTGTGTGGTTGATCCCATTTCCCTTAAACCCCATTCCAAAGAACCTTGGAGCTTAGACTCGGGTAGAGCACCCTCTGCCCCCATTCTGTTCAATTGTGTTTTACACATCATCAATAATGAGTAATAGTTGTCATTAAGACTTCTTTAGCGTTAAGTATTTTTTAAATTTATTGGATATTGCTTGATTTTAAATTAAAATAAGACAAAAGCAAAGAATAATGATTTTATTTTTTGAGTTACATAGTGCCCTCAAATATGAACATTAATTAATAATCTATCTATGTCTATTTATTCTACTTATAAATGTCAGCATATGTACAAAAAATTTAATTTTTTATTTTATTCTTATTTAATAATGTTAAGTCAATCATACCTTACATATCCTTATTAATGTCAGCATTTTTCCTTTCATGATCTATCAAACCTCTTTTTATCATATAGCATTAGGTTTCTAGTTATTTGCTCTACTTATTCTTATAACTTTAGATCTTTAATTACAATAGTAATTTTAGTAACTCAAATTAATGTATAATATACGTATAGACAAACTAATAACTAGGTTTAGTAAAAATTAAATAATAATTAATTCTCTGATATATTATTTATTTATTTAATTCAATTACAGATATAATCTATATTTTTTTATAAGTTTAACAAAAAATTATTATTTAAATATGTTCAGGTGTAACGTACATCATGTATTACTAGCCTAATTTTTATAAAATCAATTATATCTTTGTAACTTCGTATAATTTTTGTTTTTAAACATAATTTGACTTTCAAGTTTTTTTGAACTCTTTTATAAGTAGTATTTGACTTCCAAATTATTTTAAATTCTTTTATAAGTAGTATATTTCTATAAAAAAATTCATATCTATGTTTATATCTATATGAAAAAGTAACGATAAATCTATATTATATTATTATATACATATAGTTATCAAATTGGATTTTAAGATGAAAAATATGTTATATTTATTTTTTTTAATAATTAAGTTTAAAAATAAATAAAATATAAATTAATTTTTTGACACCAAGTTTATCATTTAATTTAATTACACATAAAATTTATATCTTTATGAATTCAACAACAAAAAAAATATTTTTTGAATTGTTTATGTGCAACGCACTTCGTGCATTACTAATAAAATCAAAATTAGTTCTTTTAGGTCCATCCGAGTGATTGAGCACTCGTATCATGCACCACAAGATGCTAGGTTCAAATCCCCCCTCCCCATTTGGAGTGTCAAAATATGACAAGACCTGTTAACACGACTTGAAATTAAAGGGTTTAAGTTTTTCTTAAACCATCCATTTAGTAAACACGACAGGATTAATAAACTAATTGTGTATGGATAAAATTAATCAAAAAAAATATACAACACAACTCGTTTATATATCAGTTATACACGGTTTATACATGACACGAACCCGATATGATACGATTCATTAAAGATGAATTAATAACGAATAGGGTATAAGTAAAATATTTTTTGACATGAATCCACTTCAACCAACTCAATTGAGATACCTACTCTCCATGTAATAGCTTGACCAAAAAATTAAAATCAAAATTCGATGCAGTAGCAGCAAAAACATCCGGGGCAGTATCCATTGTTGTCCACAGATTTATGAGAAAAAAAAAATATTATTTGAACTTAATTTAAAAGTCTAATTTAGGAACTTAATTAACTATAACTGTCAAATTAAAAATAAATTGTTTTTAACATTAAATCTCACAATTTAATAATTACATTAAATTAAATTCTTATATTAAATCCCGAAAATTACGTCCCTACAAAGCCCACAACATTTGTACGAGAAAAAAGAGGATACAGTTGAAGAAGCTGATGATTTTTAAGGATAATGGATGTGCTAGTACTAGTGACGTGTCTTGAAAAGAAGCCTTCCCCAAATGAAAAGCTCAATCACGTCCTTCATGTACTTTTTCTCAATCACGTAAACAATAAATCTACTCATCCCATTCATGGCCGAGAACAATGTTCAGAATATTTACTATGAATATGAACTTACAAATAGCAAAAGATACTTTCTTTATCAAAACTTTTTTGAGTCAAAGCGTTCGAGTATCGCCAAAGAGTATCTTCTGCTTCAGGTGAGATTACTATGTCTTGCTTTAGTTTTTCTTTGATTGCATAACAGAATTTTATTGGTAAGGGTCTTCTGGGTTGTTCATGATTTTGCTCAATACTGCGCTAAACTTGCTCTTTTTTAATAGCATTTTCTGATTAGTCATTTCATCATCAAGTTATGGGGCATTGCAGAGTGATTGATTGTAAAAAGTAAAATAGAAATAGTTTCACTATGTGGAATACGAAATATGTTTCAAATACTATACCCTTTTGGATTTTGACATCTAGTCAAATGTTAGTGATTGTTTTGTGTAAGTAAAACTGACATGGACCGCTAATGGAGTCATGTTTACTAATGTTTAAAACAGTTGGAAGTCTGGTATTTGTAGAAGGGTTTTAGGCTTTATTGAGTGGTGAAAGATGGCTATGGCTCCTACTGTGACAGTGGTTCTTGGCTCAATTGCCTTTGGTTTCTTCTGGGTGTTGGCGGTTTTCCCCGCTTTCCCGTTCCTGCCTNGTTTGACTTACCATTTTTTTTACCATGTGGTTTGTCAATTCGAGTTGTATATGATTTGAAAAGCTTTTTGATTATCTCCCTTTTAAAAGTTAGATTGTCATAGTCCAGTGGCTCAGGGGCCAAATAATAAATAGGTGAAAATTCTATTCTCCTTATTTTGATTGGACAGTTTAAGTTTTTAGATGAGATGGTGATTTAACATAGTATTAGAGCAACATGCCCGTATTTGAATCTCGTCGTCAACTAAAATGTGGTTGGCCCAAAATCTAACCCGCACGGGAATGGGCATGTTGAATTATATGTTTCTATGTTTTTTTTTTTTTAATAACTTAAGCTTTTAGATAGATGGTGATTTAACAACTTGAGGGGATTCAATTGACTAATAGAAAATCAAGAATGTACAGTAATACTCCAATGGTTCTTGTGTTCCATTTACTGTCCATAATCATGTTTTCTTTGAGTTATATTTGGAATTGTTGCTTATAATGGTTCTTAAATTGCCCATACATATTGTTATAATGGTCCTAGACTATTTTTTTTTTGTCAACTTTATCATCTAGCTTGACAACCAGCTTTCATAAATAACTCTGAAATTGTGACTGTATGGTGTTGATTCCGTTAATACTGTCTAACATTTGACTCATGCACTTCTTCACTTGATTTTAGTTCTATTGCTTGGAGGACAGGTGGCAGGATCGGCAGCTTTAATATCTCCAGCTAGTGAGAAGAAAGCATGGCTCATTTTAGCTTGGGTTAGCACTGTAGCAGGCAACCTCTCACTCATGGGATCAGCTGCCAACATAGTTGTGTGTGAGCAGGCTCGACGTGCACCCGATGGTTACGATTTATCTTTCTGGAGCCATCTCAAATTTGGAGTTCCCTCCACACTCATAGTCACAGCAATTGGNACCCGATGGTTACAATTTATCTTTCTGGAGCCATCTCAAATTTGGAGTTCCCTCCACACTCATAGTCACAGCAATTGGCTTGGCATTTATAAGATGATGACACAAATGTTCTTATGCTAGAGACCAATCTTGTATATTACAATTTCATAAAGAAAATTAACAAAAAATAAGTAAAGATTAAGTCACTTTTGACTGTGGTCCGTGGTGTCACGTGGAATTATTTCGTTGCACTAAGAGTCACTTTTGGGAAAGTGGTTATTGCAAAAGGTTTGGTCAATGTGAAGGACAATTGATCTCGGTTCGCACTGATCTCTCATAAATTCTGATTTGGACTGGTTACATATATAACATTTTTACATAAAATATATAAAACGACTGCTCTCAAATTTGATGTTGGTAACCCCTTTTACAGCTTTGTGTTGGTCAAACATTTGTGTCATCTGTCTGGCTATTTAGTAGGAGAAAACTAGTTTGGTGATTATTACTCCTTAGTGGTGAATAAGGAATTGCAAATTGCTTGCGGTTTTCTGCTTGGTCATGGACTCATTGTCTTGACCGGTGAGAGTCGGCACAGGCGTTAGGTCTCGTCAGAATACCCTCATTACCATTAGCTCTACAAATATGTGCTCCATTGTAAAAAACAAACATTGAAAGAGGTCTCAATTGCTCCACTCATCATTCTTTTTCAACACTATATTGAAGAATTGGTGAAAAATGGTGAAGTTAATGCGCAGAATTAAGAGTCGGGGTACAAACATTGAATCATTGATTCTTTTTCTGATGAATCTACTAATTTGAAAAGGGGTTGTTTAATTTGTGAATAATAAGTACAACATATTCTCCAAATAGCTGGTGGTAAGAATGTCTTCAAGAAACTTCATTTGATAAATTTCATTACTAGCTTGAGGCTTATTCACTCCACAGGCCACTGGATGATGTCCTCCCTCATCCACTTAAGTAATGATGCATTGAAAACTCTCATTAATGAGAAAAAAAAAAACTTTTTCTTCTTCTCAACACTCCCAAATGCACACGCAAACATAGGCTCTTCAGTTGTTTAAGAATGCCTAACCACCTCATAGATCATTAGGGTTTTGGGTTTTGGAGAGAGAGAGAAGGGGGGGGGGGTTGGGAGAGCTATTCCTTACCCTAATTCCATACAGCCAATGTAGCATAAGGAGATTCAAATTCATACAAACAAATCTTTCATGAATACTAGGGTTTACGGTGGTGGAGAAACTAGATCGAAAAAAAGATATTTTGATTGTAAGATATTTAATTAAATCATCGCTAGAACTGAGATTGTATTCAAAGAGAAAGATATCAACTATATTGNCTGTATCGTGCACTACAAGATATTAGGTTCAAATCCCCTCTTTTCATTAGAGTGTCAAAATATAACATGATCTTCTGTTAACACGACACAAAATTAACGGGTTTGAATTTTCTTTAAGCTGCATGTTTAGTAAACGAGTAGACCCNCAAACAAATCTTTCATGAATACTAGGGTTTACGGTGGTGGAGAAACTAGATCGAAAAAAAGATATTTTGATTGTAAGATATTTAATTAAATCATCGCTAGAACTGAGATTGTATTCAAAGAGAAAGATATCAACTATATTGAGTGTTTTTTTGTATATTATATGGATGATTTGATCCTTTGTGGAATTATCTGCATTTATAGGTAACAAAAGAATACCAATAAACGGAATAGCATCTTGTTTAGACATATATCTGCTAGTACCAAGGGCCTTGATTTTTTTTGTTCATCGATCAAGGATATTCGAGTCAGCTTACACGCACATCGATTAATCCACACCGGAACTAGAGTATTATGGCTTGACTCCNAAAAAATGAACTTGACATGATTTATTAGACACAAATTAATAAATGAATTAAGTATGAGTAAAGTATTTTTTGACACAAACTCACTTCAGCCGACACAATGGAAGAGTCTACTCCCCATGTAATAGCTTGACCAAAAAATTGAAAACGAAATTAAAATCAAAATTCGATGCATTCACGGCAATGCNGGTCATTGTATTTCTTTGCCACGACAAGTTAAAAAAAAAAAAATATATAGCTACAAGTTAGATGTACATTACTTAATCAAGTCCATGCTAAAATCCCACTGCTTCTTTGTCAACTCAATGTTTGAAGTCTGTGCACTCACTTTGGCAAAGTCACTGTTCATAAAATATTCACCACTTATCCCCTTGATTTGTGGATGCAATGCCACATAGCAACTCAACTTGAACTATATAGGCTTTCGTTATGATAAACAACAAGGGGTAGACAAAAGTCACATAGAAAAGTTTTTCCTTTTGGTTAGTTAAGTCTGGTTTGTCTCTATGTTCATGTAAAATATGTGTAGAAATATCCTATTTGTGGATGTCTAGGTAAATTATTTGGAGGCTAAAGCACATTACAGTCTGTCATCAATTACTTTACTATAAAAAAGCTTTTTTTTCACAGTTGGGTATTAGTGAGAATTATATGATTTCTCAGTGGGATTAGTGGGAATTATAAGATTTCATAATGGGATTATCGAGAATTATAAGATTTCTCGGTGGGATTTGACGAGCACAAATCTAATTAGGTCAAACCCCGTAAATCAAGCAAGCCCAAGCCCGCTTTATCAATCCGACTCCGTCCAAGATCCAAGGAGTCCGGGTAGACAAGGACACGTGGTAGAGAGATAATCGGGATAGATATAGAAGAATTAATTGTAACTTTTTGTAATTATTTTCCCCGAAGAAGTAGCACCCTCACACTTACGTCACCGCCTCACCATACCTATAAATTGTAAGTTCTCTCCACGTGGAGTGACACATCTCTCAACACACCTTGGCACTTCTTTACATCTGCACAAAAAAGTTTATCTCTTATAGCTATTGTATTTCTCTTAGAGTATAAATCTCTCGCAGCTCTCTCTGCTACTTTATTTATCAATAAAAATCTCTGGCTACCGTTGTCGTTTTTCGAGAATGGAACAGGTCACCCAGACCGAACTACTATATATCTGTATGTTTACTTATATTTACTATTTTATCACTGGTTACCTTATTTATTGTCTATTAATTACATCTCTTCACACACTCGACTATTAATCTTGTACGAGACCAATTTGTGCATCATCATGATTAGTGCGAATTATAAAATTTTTCAGTGGGATTATCGGGGATTATAAGATTTCTCAGTTGGATTAGTGGGAATTATTATGAAAATAGTAAACAATAACTTGGGTTGATATTAGGTTTTTTTAAAAAAAAGTGAATGTGATGGGTTTATAAAATGGGGAAAATCCTCCACTGTAGAATTTTTTTTTAAAATTATTTTGACAAGAAAACAAAAAAGTAGTACTGAATGTTTTTAGAACTTGAATGACTTCATGTAGATAGTGAGATGTATCCTATTGGGTTCGTATTGAGTTTATGTTATTTTATGTCTCAATTCTTCAGTTTATATTCAAACTATTTATTGTCGAGTTCATATTTTGTTTAATCAAGTTTGTATTGACTTTCAAGTTCTTTTGAACTCTTTTGGAAGTAGTATTTGACCTCTAAATTATTTTAGACTCTTTATAAGTAATACACTTATATAAAATTTTTCATATTTATGTTTATACCTATATGAACAAATAAAGATGAATCTATATTACATTCAGTTCTGTTCAA